ATATTCAGTTCGTTGACAAGCAATGGGCATTGCAACAAGGCTTTGTAATGAACTACATTAAGGACGCATTCCTCTTGTTCTTCGGTTGTTCAATAACGTAGAATGTGCCCAAATCTCTTTTCCCAAAGATAAGTCACCCGGCACGGCCAATAGTCATTTGATTACTCACGTGGTCAATTTCCAGAACACGACAAGACAAATATGAAATCCGATGGTTAATAAAACCCAGTTTCTCATTAATAACATTAGCACCAAGAAAGGCGTTGAATGGCAATTTGCATCTCGTGTCGGTAGCCTAAAACACAGTCCAAAGCATTGAGCAGAGAACAGTCATCCATTGAAGAATTGCTGTTTTATTGGAGAAGTGACCATATTTTCTCGCATCACAAATCGTTTGGATTACTTGTCCATGTGACGAAGCTCAGGGGAGTAAGCCTGACAGTTTGGAAACGAAGTTGTTAATAATCAATAGACGCTGGTTTGACTTCACTTGAGGACGGAATGGGTGGCTTTTTGCCGCGATCCGTCTCTTCGCAGACACTGTGGCCGTGCGTTAAACACAGGGTTAAACCGGTATCAAATGCAAAATACCTATGTTAATCCGATACCAAATTAATTTGCGTGTTATTAGAAAAAAAGGTTCGCGAAACGAGAACATTTTCTGAGCACGGACACGAGGCAGTAATTATCTCGATGTAACCTACGATCCTCACGAAGGTATACTGCCGGGGAAAAGAAACGCAACATGTAGCATGTACAGAGAGGGTCTTAAAGTTTGAAACTTAAGTTAATTGTATCCCACACTAAACAGAGATAGATGACTTGTGTCTGTGACAATACTGTCACCATTGCATGGCATCCCATTCGATTCTGACACCGTACTGTGATACCCATAACCTGGAAACTCGGGGGGGGGGGGACAATCGATGTTTGCGTTGTTCGCGACGGACAGCATACCACCGACAACGATTCTCAGTTCGTCAACGCTACATCGTTATCATCGTGTAGGGGTGTTGGTTGCGGGGTGTTCCCGCTTTGGGAGAATTTGTGCTTTTGTTCATATTATTTATTCAAATGGTTGCTCGTGTATACTAAACAACACAGTTAGGGATCATGCATATTCCATGATATATTTGTGAAATTATCTGTTCAGTTTTCACTTCATAAATATCTCAAACACTATTTATGATCCCTAACATCTTTTGTTCAGTATATAAAGGATGCTGTGTTCTCGTACATATATCAATTTCTTGCAACTATGTCTTTCGCCGCTGTTATGCCTATCGCGCCCAGTCGGGTCCGTTGCTGTGGGTGTTTCGAGTTGAATGTCCCTTGCGTTGGCGTTTTATATTTGGATTTTGTACTACCATATTTTAATGTTTTTTATTGAAAACATCATGTAATATGAAATTATTTGAAATTAATACAACAGAATTTGTCAACGACTCAAATAAGGTTCAAACACCGTATCATGGCTTGTAATGTGATATACTTCTTTCAAAATGTCTTTCTTTAATAACGGAATTCCAATATTTGTAATCAATGGAAATTTTTCAGTTTAACCAAAACACTTATTTTGTTTTGCGTCACCAAACTCCCGGTATTTCACGTGTCTGGTCCGCCTAAGTAGAAATGAATTAACATGGCCTATCACCTTTCGTTCGACAACGCCTGATGAGCAACATGAGCGTTTTCTCTACAATGTTTAAAAGCTCTCTCGTCTCCCGTACACAATCACATTGAACCACTGCCTTTTAAAGCACGTCGCTAGGTCAATAAAACCAGAGTCACTAGAGATTGAAAGATTTTAAGTTAAAAGCGAATAAAAATCCCATTGAAAATTTGAAATCACGAGCATGCATTATAATCAGCCACTGAGTGCAATCGGTGTTAGTCTGGAATATAAAATCGAAACAGTTTTACCTTGTAGCACACTGTCAGTAATTCTCAAATTTGTCGATTCCTTTTTTTTAAAGAAGTGGTTGGCCTTAACACAACTGGGCCAAGCAGGCTTTTAGAGAACAGAGACTCCTGCCCTCGTCAGGTTCATGGTTAAGTGAAGACATCGTGTATCTAACCATCAGGGCATTGATGTATTGTGATTAACAGTTAATGTGTATGTCCCTTGATTGATATCAATATATTTGAATTCAGTTTAGGGCCCGCTTCGCTCTCAGTTTTAATTTCTCGAAAAATGTAAATTGTGTACTTAAATGAGTTTTCATGTGAGGGTCGAATGTGGATATCTGAATGATGGGCAATGAACAGCGATCTACGCCATTGGGATACGCGGACATGCATCAACCAATCAGCAAGCCTCACCACTGATCTCGTTTGTTGCCTCTTACGACAAACATGGGTTGCTGAAGACCAATTCTAACCCGGATCTTCAAGGGTTTCTTGATGCTATGGATACGGAGGTCATTTATGAAAAGCCAGCCGACAAATACGTGTTTACAAATCCAAAAAGCTGGGGTGGTCAAACAGGGTTTAATATGTTTAGTTGTTGGGGTGGCTCAGTGGTAGTAGTGTTCTCCTCTTTCACCGTGACTACTGGTTCGAATTTCACGAAATGATCTTAGGCCTAATAATCCTTGGTATAGCTGGACTATTGCACAAAGCGTCATAAAATTATACTCATTTATTTGGTTAAACCAGCTGAGAAATATGACGACAGGGGTGACTTAATACAAAAGTTGAAATCGTTGGGTCATTCCCTCTTCATGGGTATTACAGCTTCTAAGTTGAGAATAGGGTCCCTGGAAGGTCTTCTACACCACCCTTCCTGGTCCCGTCAGCAGTATTTATCATATGCCCTCCCAAAGCTTCACAAGACGCATATAGATTGTTTTTAAATTTCGTTGAATTTCGGATGACGTACATCTTTGTCTGATTCTCGGTACTAACGAACTCTCCCTAACAAACGATGCACATACAGTTTATAGAACAGAGGGGGCACAGATGGCCCAGTCGTCTGAGGCCCCGCGATTCGCTGTGCAGAGTTGCGTCCCTTGGGCACGCCAGAAATCTATGATTGTGGGTTCGAATCCCGGTTCGCTCCGATTATGTTTCTAGGTTTGTCAGCACCATACCCGTGCTCGTGGGTTTAACCGAAGTGGTAAACGTCTGGGACCTGCATCACTTCGGGCTTTCATCCCATGTTAAGCTGACACGCCGTGATTCACTCACTCATGGAACAGAAGCGTAATGCATTATTGACAGGCTAAATTGGAGTGATAATAAGTTGATGGGCTGTATGGCCTCTGTCCATCGCACTCTATCTTAAGATAATTCAATCCACCTCCACCATTTACGCTCGAGGACAAAGCATGGGGAGAACCTTTCATTTCAGCCTTGTAATTACGCCAAGTAAATTTCAGTCGTCTTAAAAATACCAGTTATTTTAAGAAAATAGTAAATGCTATTAGACGATGACCAAAGAGAAGAGAGAGAAAAAAAAATAATATTAACTTAATTTTAAGAATTTACACATAAAATCGTTATGTTGGGTATCCTCATAGGATACGCCGAAGAAAGATTTAAGATCGTTATATAATGTTCTTTTTAGCACATTAGGACTGTCGTGGTAAAAACGTTATTTCCGAGTTTGAAAACCTCCACGACTTATGATATACACATAACGTGATATGTACATGGATGTTGCCAGTATTGATTATAACAAAACCGACGGAACCATTTCCATAATAATAAGAAACCTAATTTAAAAGCAGAGTTTATTCTACGATTCCGATTATGTCATAAGTATGTGTTTATGAATCATTATGAATGATGAAAAGTGTTCGCGAAAACGTAAGCGTATCCTACACCAGCGGTGGCACCTGTCACAAACACATGCAGAACCAAATCAATTGTTCGCCTGAAAAACACGGAACTTATGGTACAAGTCAAAATAGAAATATGCATCGGACATGATTTTTGTCACTGATACGTCAAATTTGGAATTTGTCTACCATAATACTTTTTTTCACTAATGCCTTACATGTTGTTACCCAGATCGAAGATTTCTTGATCAATAAATATTCATACGAGACGCTCTTTGACATTTCATTTAAAGAGAATGTTCTATTGTTTATATTTAACGTATTTAATTTTCTCGAAAAATGACATTTGTATCTGAAATATGAGTGTTGTGTTGTGCATGAGGCCATGGTGGCTCTAGTACATCCATACAGAATGTCTTACAAGGTATTATAACGATTGTTATAATTATTATATTATCATACTATACATTTATATACCGCAGGTATCCAGGTACTAGTATCTGCTCAAATGTCGTTTTTATTTGTTCCCCGAACCAGTGAGTCCGTGTGTGCATTCCAGTTTACATTCTCTGTGGTTGTGTCAAGATGTAATTCACACTTTGTTGATTGACTGTGCATGTGTTTACTGGGCACTGCAATAGTATATGAATGTGTAATACTATGTAAACGCAGCTCTAGCGAGGCAAATGAAACAGCGATGGTCCAATTCATGTATGAATTCCTTTTAAGACAACAAATAATTGAACATTATAAAAGCGATAAGACCTTTCCATATTCATAAGAAATTTCTGAAACACATCACATTTTTGTTTACAAAGTCACATGCTCATTTCAAAATACACAAATCGAAATCGATTATTAAATGACATGTCTTGTAACTGTTTCGAGACAATATTGTTATCTGATTTCCCTTTTAATTGTTTTATCATATGGAAGGACCATCTGAAGAAACATATAGTGTTTCTTGTACCAGTGTCCAAGGCACCAATGGTATAATGGACATAAATCTCATATGTAGATACCAAAATGCAATTCATATGAAAATATAGAAGCGACGGTGCCTATGTTTATATGTGCCCTAGTTGTTCAATTGATTGTTCTATTATTAGATGCATTCAATGATTCAGGCCTGACCTTTGTCCCATATGACGTGGGTTGATGAAGGGTCAGCGACCCCCAACGTCCTGAAATATATCTTGATTTGGTTTCTATTGGCAGATCAGAATTACGGAGTGCCAAGATGTAGCTATATCAAGTACTTCACGGGGGACGACGATCGGGAAGGACTAGGACCTACTGACGCTATACTGTGTAAGTTCATCACTCTAACACGAACACCTACTGAGCCAAATCGAAAGTAGATCTAGAGGCTGATGGTCTGAGGTGACTCTCAGTTGCTGTACTATGCTTAATTAATGGAGAATGTCAATCAAAAGGACCTGTAGTCCGTATGTGAATGACGTATGAACATGTTTATGAATATTCAAAATACGTCATATCCAAAAATATGTGTTTGTAACCTGAAATGGCTTTCTATGTCTGGCATTGCATCTGTCTATGTTTCTTTACTTCACTAGTAGCCTGTATTTGGGAATAGACACTAACAAACGCTTGTAAAATATGTTATTATTTTATCATATTATACTTAGAAAAAGGTAACGAACTTCGGATTATTTTAGAGAGAGAGAGAGGGAGTAGTTGGTTCTTTTGGTGTATTCGTGCTTAACCTGCGCTTGTAATTCTTAAAAACATAAGTCACATTTGAAAACGTTTATACAGATAAAGTACAAAACACGTTATTTTAATTCACTAATTACATAACATGAGTACGTGTGTAATTATTTTAATTCATTAATTACACAACATGAGTAAGTGAGTAAGTTGTATTTGAAGTAGCTTTGAATAGTATTGGGTATAGTGAATAGTGATGAAGGTCTTTGACCTTTGCCATATGGTGAAACGATCCACAGAATATGTGCTGATGCATTATCATTCAAATGGGATATAGGTATGTGATAAAATATGGTCGCACTATCGATATAAATTTCTTTGTGTGGTCAAATATTTTCTTATATTTGATAAGGGGTTAACATTTCGTGTACTAAAAAAATCATTTTGTGTTCGTCTCAAAAGTGTTTGAACTCATCTGTTATGACGGGAAGAAGTCCCAGCACATCCTCGTTACTTCTTTCAGTGTGAATATTCATGTCTTGTCAGCAAAGGACACCCAATGCATTATCATTCTTTTCCCCAAATACGATAAACCCAAGAACATTTTCCCACTGGTGGTTATGTCCTCATGATTAATAGTGACACTTTGGCATGCACATTTCGTTTAGTTAAGCCGGTGGGGACTCCGGTTGAGAACATGGTCCCTCAGCAACCTGTGCTTGTCCTACGAGGCGACTAAATGGATCGGGTGGTCAGGCTCGGTGACCTGGTTGACCGCATGTAATCTATTCCAATTTGGACAGCTTGATGCTCGTGATGTCAATCACTGGTTTGACTGGTCCATATTCCATCATTTACAGATGGCCTTGATATAGCTTGAAATATTGCTGAATCAAGTGTGAAATAGCAAACAGTTTCGATAAGTACATAAGAGGTGACAATGTACGCTGTCGTCTAAGTGTGACACCATTACACCACAAAGTTATAAAAGTTGAAGGAAACTCAATCAACCCAGTTATATGATTTGAAATTCTCCTTTTGCCATTTTGCGATATTAAATTCAGACTTCATTTTATGGACCATGACAAAATATTCATGTTTTATTAAATGATTATATTTTGTGGACTTGGAAGATTATAAACACAGTTATGGAACAATTACTTTTTTTCATATTATCATTAACAATATTCTTCATAAAAGGTCACGTCAGAAGTTCTTACATCAATCCTTAAGTATAATTGCCACAGTTCGTTCTTCATCCAAACATGACAGAGGTATTTCAGAAATAGACATGTCTTAAAAGCAGCTTGTCAAATAGTGCTTAGGATAGGAAAAGGTAAGGTGACAATAGAAACATTGAATATAAAAGCCATTGCATTACCATATAGGCCAAACCATTAAGTAACACTTTTAAAAGGCCCAATAGCTTCATCCATAAGTCTCCAATGAATAGGGCTTCGTGTGATTGAACATCCAACATATATGCCTCTGCGGCTAAATCTCCGAATATATTTGTTCATGTTCTAACCACTCAGTAAATGTACTTTTAAAAGTAGACAATTATTCAAGTCAGCTGAATCTGAAACCAGTTGTTAGATGTAATGCACCCATGTCTCTTTTGGCCTTCATCATTATCTAAGTAAAGTGTACTTAAAAGGCAGACACAGTATCCAGGTCAACCAAATCAGAAAAGGGCTTTAGATCGATACAGGCACTTAGGATGCACAAAGCGTTATTATAATGAACGACGTCTAATGCAAAACCTGCGCGACAAGACACCCCAGCCTTCGGTATAATTACAAAGCAGATTTCTCTCTAATTACCCTACTACAATTCCCCTGTCCGTCACAGCTGTCAGACATTTCAGAAACGGGGTATATCTACAACGTCGTCTCTGGAAAAGACTATACAGATCGATAGAAGTGCACTAATTTAACGAGGAGACACTGTAAGAGAGGAAGAGGACAAAGAGTAACTGCTTTTGACAAATTACCATTAGGATGACAAGATGTTCGCAACGAGAGAGCAGCATAGCTGGGGACCCTGCAAGCATCCTTCTTGCATGAACTAGAACATGCATATATGCATCATATGAATGCAGCTTTATTCTGTTCTTGTTATCAGCAGTTTGGCATCTTAGGGCATTATCATAGTGTTGCTTTGGTCTTGAACTGAACACTGTGGTCATATGCTAAAATTATTTGAAATAATCAACACTGTCAAACGTTAATATGATATGTTTTAATGATAAAATATAAACACCGTGTATAAACTTATGCAAACAAACAATGTTGAGGAATAACGTGGCTATAATAGGAATATTATGTATAAATGTGTCGAAATAAACCGCATGAGGTTCTTGTAAATAACGTTTACATAATTTAATGAAATTTGATAACATTCAGTTTAACACGTGGTGATATGTTCATTATTCTTAATATCATTATTTTTATTTTTGGGGAAATAATTACAAAAATATCAAAAATTTGTTATTGTATATGTAAATGTATAGATTTATTCATGTTTTTAAATATTTCGCTGCAAATGTGGGTGTTCATCAAAATCATATGAGTTTTATATGATATATATGTTTCCAACAAAGATGCAAGTTGAGCGTTCTATGTTTTTTATTGATACAGAGGTATATCCCATGTAAACAGGTGAAAGCATTAGATTGACTGCAGTTTATACCTGATGGACTTTCTTTTACAAGTGTTTCAGTTGATTGTACTGATGTGAAATGATGAGTATTAATAGCCGATTTGAGTGTTTAAATGTATATACCATTTCATATATGTACGCCAATTGGGAATATCGTCTGTGGAGATACTAGTGAATTATAACATGTCTCTTTAATAAATATACATTCTTTAGAGCACGCATGTATTTTGAAGATAATGAAGTATATATTAAAGAAAAACCATAGAATATTGCCCATATATGTATATCAATTAAGCACAGTTGTAATACAGTATTACATATAGCTAAATTCATGTAACTAATTTTTGAGTATGTAACATTAGGTAATCATTAATCACAATGTAGGATTAGTATCATTTATGTATTGCTGATCATTTAAGTAATCTTGGGGAGCATCAATTTGATTTGTATGGGGTGGGAATCGTTTTTGAGAACGATCTATTTTGCATCCATCAAACTATTTATTTACTGAGCACCATTAGACAATCTATTCATTTTCACTAGTAACACAAAAATTTTGACGTTTGGGTATTTTCAACAAAAAAACACTATTCATTTTCTTTCACCACTGCCAACAAACTATTGATTTACTGAGCACCATTAGACAATCTATTCATTTTCACTAGTAACACAAAACTTTTGACGTTTGGGTATTTTCCACACAAAAAAAACTGTTCATTTTCTTTCACCACTGCCAACAAACTATTTATTCTGGACATATTTCCGAACGAACTATTCATTAAGACATTTTTCCCACCCCCTCACCCACAGAAATCAAAAGGATGCTCCTTTCGTGCTATTTCAGTAAAACATTTGGAAGGCGCATCACACAGCAACTAAACTTATAGTCCGGTCAGGATGACCTGGTCCCGTTTGAAAAAACGTAGAACAATCAACTATCATAATACCTATTGCATCATTCGTACTGCCATAACCTTCCGAAAAGACATCTTTAACTTAAAGTGATTAGTTATCAGAAATATTAGATCAACCGGAGATCGTATGTTTATTCATGCATGAAGAATCCCAAAACATGAGCGTCAATGGCATCAATCAAGTAATCCAAGATGGCTCCGCACAATATATTTGGTTCCATTATATAATTTGATTGGTGAATCTACCAAACGTATCGACGCATTAAGTATGTGATGCATTTAAGGAGTGTAAGAAATAAACCCGGCGTATTTATGTCATGCCTCCTACTACAAATACAAGCAATGAGCAAACTAACGTCTCTCGGTCTTACTGGTGTTCTTGTTTCTCCGTCTTGCACGCACAAATCGTGCCCATGGACATAAGATCAATCATAAACTCTCTAGGGAATAAATGAGTTGAACTGGAGTCGAAAAGATAATAATTTTATAAAGAGCGCAGTACATCATTCAGAAGAATTAGCTAGGGACTGTTCTTACTGATTGAACAGCGGAGTGCCTGAACGCTTGCACTTCACTATGCCTGATTATGCCTGATTATGCCTGATTTCTGAATGGGAAATGTGCAGTCAGTTTCCGTCACAAGGCCTCGGTTAATTTAGGCAGACCTTGAGAGTAGAAGAACCCTATTACCGCCTTTATTACTCAGCACAGCATCCTGGCTTGCGATTCACTGTAGCTATTATAAACCAGCTGTAGAAGGAATTTAATAACCGTCTATGAATTTATACGAGAATTGCCTTTTATTCATACAACATTTAGATTTTTTGAGTAAATGCAATAATGCTGTTTTGATTTCATTCAGAAGTTTGAACAATGCAATAAAACTCGAACTGTAATTATGAATATTGATTTACACTTTCTTTGAGCATATTTGCATTGAGAATAATCATGTTTCGTAAGAAAGCTATACATACACTCGTGTTATTTACGTTTACATAAATACTCCTTGCCTGTGTTTATGTATAATCATTTTGCCTGGAATATCGTTCATTGCTTCTTTGGCTTTATTCTAATGATTTATTTTCTTTTTTTATTTCATTTTCAGTAAACATACGACGGGCGACGATGTTCCCCCTTGTCAGCCTATTAATTCTACTGATCGGAGGAATAATGTGTTTTGTCGGACATTGTAATTCGGGCAGAAAAATTTTAACATTCGTATGTGGAATTCTATTTGTTTTAGCTGGTAAGTAATTTGTGTTGTACGTTGCATACGAATCCTGCATTTCCTGCATTACTGTGAATGTTTAGGGACACGTAATATGAACGTATACTATATATATAATAGAAAATAATAAAGTCCACGTTAGTCCATCTTCTTCTTTATATCAGTTTCCGACATAGTACTTTCGCTGTCTCATGACAGCTCTTCACTGTAACTGACAATGACATATAATATGACGTCATACTTATGACATATATTATATGTCATTGTCAGTTACACTGAAGAGCTGTCATGAGATATCGAAAGTACTATGTCGGAAACTGATATAAAGAAGATGATGGACTAACGTGGACCTTATTATTTTATTATATATTACATGTACACCGAGTGAACATATACCTCATTTTTGTATATATAGTATATATAGATAATATAAAGTCACATGTCAACACATTTCATTTATTTCACAAGGATTATGTATTTATGCATTTATTTCACATATGGACGTGTTCATGTGGTCAATCAATCATTTCATGATAAAAAGGTAAGACTTAGGATTCCATACATACATTTATACATTGTGACGTATATAATATACATACAATTCACGAGACAATCAGAATGGCATCTTCTCTATGAAAACGTAGTACTTACAATTTTGAAAGCAAGCAATCATTAGCTAAACATGTATCATTATTCATAACGTAATTGTTACAATCAGACCGTTGTTTTTTGGTACCCTTGTTTACTCTTACCACTTATTCTCACGATAAGGGTTTTACATAGTAAATACCATGCATGATACTATACCATATACCCTGGTCCATGACAAGTAACAATTCTAAAACTAATCACAGGAATCCAATGGAACGGTTTAGTTAGTAATAGTATGGTGTGGATCATATTTAGTATATCTGCTAGTACACTCACACAAGAAGTACTCGTTTAATCTCATTGCCGTGTGGAGCAAAGTGAACTTCATATTATACCATATGAATTATTTCCTTAATATCTAATTATTTTGTGTATGTTAATTATGCAAAAACATAGCAAATATATGGTTGTTATACAATTATCATGTTTACAACTCCCATTCCATCATTTGATCCTTGATGACTAGCATATACCACCATAACCTTATTGTATTTCAGTTTACTGAAACGGTTGTTAGGTGACCTATTGCAAATATGAGCCACACAACGTCTGGACTTAGAACCTGTTATGTCAGTATATGTAAATAAGTTGGTTCTGTATTTGGATCTGAGATGAATCCCCAAATAGGACAGTTCCACCTTAAAGATCTCAGGGGGTTCTATTGAGTGATGAACTGAACGCCGTCTGCATAAAGGCCAATATATATTATAAGTCGAATGAAATTCATAACCCCGAACATAGAGAGCATTACTTGTGGTCATCTGGCAGTATCATTGCTTTGCTATCATTCTCGAGCCTACTTTGCATGGGAAGGTAGTTTTTTGTCATATACAGTACGTCCCTATGGATTATACGAGTTATCCGAGACACGGTGAGTGTGGATGATCGAGGATTTTGTCTGCACTATACAATTACATCGTCTTAGACGATATATCGCGCTAATTGATTTCGAATTAACGTGTTGCTAACATATGTTATACTTGGGATTACACTTTCTTAGTCTAATACAATTCTAGAATTTGGGGGAGTGGGGGAGTTTGGAGTCCCATCGAACCACACTGTCAGGGTAAGACACCTACTCGCAAGTACACTTGTTGTATGAATGAATGTTGTATTCTAATTAAATCTGTAACATAAAAATTGAAAACGGTAATTTCGGGTTCACATACGTTTGTGATTTACACAAAAATCCAATTATCGATTATTACAGATTTCAACTGCTTTTCAACAACAGTCTTCACCGACGAGGCATCAAATGTGTTTTATATATCCCAATGTGTTGTGAAAGATTGACCGCCCTGACATGTGAACAAATATAATATCATGTATGATATATGAGATATGACTTGATATATGACATGACACGACGTAACATAATATGATTCTCGTTCATTTTTCCCTCACAATATATATTGCAAAAACCGTATACTTTTGAACCACCAAATGAATAATTCTATGATCCATATTTGTGTTTTTTCTTAATTATTGAATTTTAAACAAATACAATGACTAAGAAGAAACACAAATATGGATTATAGAATTATTCATTCACACACATATCTTTGAGCAAACAAATGTTTAATTCAGAAAAAACATGACATTCCAATTCAGAAAACAGCATATCAATCACCATAAATACATAATTGACAATGAATTTTACATTTTGACATAATATATAAAACAATCAAACTGCCTGAACATCAGTTCGTTTTTCAAACATTTAAACTATTCAAGTAGCTATATGATTAGAAGGATTAGTATAGCCCTTCACACTGGAACAGTACGTGTATACTCTGTGGTTTGTCCTGTAGTATTACAACGTACGTTAACACGATGATAAATCACCCCAATACCAAATATCCCTGACACGTGCGTTGTGATAGCGACAAAGTAATTACACGAATGTCATAAAGGTCCGTCCGTGGTCACTACTTACTCATTGTGGGCAGTATGTCGGCAAAGATCAAAAGCCAGTGTGTACTGAGAAAGAAGCCAAGCAGGCTACCGACAACCTTCACATCTAATCTCCTATTGGCCAGCTCTTCGCCGTTGTCATGATAACAGTACGAGCTTAACGGTGACTGACAAATAATTTTCCTAGCAATTTTTCTATGTCGATTGCCAAGTCTTTTTGGTGGTCTACGTTGAACGAGATCGACTGCGTTATTGAGTTTTCGTCTGAGGGTATTTTCAATTTGTTTTGTGCTTTCGACCGTGTTTTTTATCTTCATGTTTATTCATCAACATCCCACGCGCAAAGGTTTAGACATGTGCTTTTAAGGCTTGTACGTATAAGACAAACGTTTTTTTACGAAAGAAACATGTAACGTTGATATGTGTTGAAAGTTTGATTGTAAAATCGTTTTTTGTTCATTTGAGTTCAACTACTACCCCCTGTCTTATCATTTCGATCACAACTGAAAAATTAAACATTTTTAACGCGTTGGAATAATATTGATTTGTGTTGCTATTCAATAATACAATACAGCTAATCGCTTCAAATACAAACATGGTTAAATCCTACAACAGTTGGCATAAGCCAACGATGTCATCACGGATTCGAAATAACCGGAGCATAGATAAAGGCGCGATATGATTAATTCGATTGAACAGCCTTAACCATTGAGATAAGCACGAACGAAGAGATTCCAGACAGAAACATAGTATGTTTATACGCACATCCGGGTAACACAGACCATCTAGACTTAAATGGAATATTGTTCAAAGAGGCGTTAAAACTCAACAAACTCTCTCACTCACCTTACATATAAATTGCATGGTGTTAATGAACTGATATCTTTGCCGGATAATATATATACTCGCGCATCTTACACAGGAGATAGATGTCGTACCATTCCATATTATCACGTGTGCGGGCAAATAGATCAATGTCCTTTATGCCTAAAATCACCTGACACAAAATACATTTAAAAAGAAACTCGGGATGGTATTTCAAATTGCCCTGATTACCAAAATTGAAGATTAACGAACCTTTGTTGTCATATAAAATGTTTTTATGTCTTGGAATGCCTGATTTACCAATCCACCGACCTCACATAATAATGACAATAATTATGACAAAAGGACCAAAGAAGGTCAATATGGGAAGTTGTATAACCATCTGACTTCTCCTGACCCCAAAACAAAATGTTTTCCTTTTATTGACTGCACCTATTCACCTCACAAATATTATTAGACATCAAAACTTTTTTGTCAATTATATTTTCAGGCGACAAATGTTATACTTATATCGTTCTTAGTAAAGCACAAAATCAAGTACTTTTTCTAATTGAGTCCAAACGGATTCGAACCCATACCTAATCGCTAGCACAAAAAGTAATATTTTATTATGTGTTAATTTATCTCCATGTCGACCCTAAAACCTTTCTTGGAATAAAATACGTACACCAAATGATTCAAACAGAGGCATTAGGTAGGTAAGCCCTAGTCTAATAGTGTGAATCTACATGATGTCGTCAGTTGAGTTAATAATATGTTACACACATGCACCGGATGCATTCAGTGAATATCTTTCACATTGTGTTATTGTTGTTGTTGTTGTTTTTTGTCTTTTGTTTTTTGTTGTTGTTTTTTTGTGGTTTTTTGTTTTTTTTTGGGGGGGGGGGGGGGGCTTTTTTGGGGGGGTATTTTATTTTATTTTTTCGTTCACAATGTTATATGTAAATAATATTGATACAGTGAACATGAACAGCATTTTTTTGTTTTATTTCCAGGCCTCTGCACCCTCGTCGGGATTATCCTCTACATCGGCAGCATTACAGAAGAGGTAGGCAATAAGCCCCGGGCCAGTATAGAAGAGCCTAAGTTTAAATACTATTATGGATCATCCTTCATCATGGCAGTCGGTTCGTTCGTTTTAACTGAATTATCAGGCGTGTTTTCAGTGTACTTGTATATTACAAAGCACAAACAATCACAAAGGAAAAAGCTACAACAAGCATTGAAAACTGAAACAAACGACAATAGATCGAACAACTGGCGGTATAGGCGACCTAGGTCTCAGTCTCGCGACCGGTCTCAGTCACGTGACCGATCTCGAGATCCTTCAGTAAGTCGCTCTGAAAGCTACTTCACCTATACGCCAATCTCCGATACTTCTCATGAATTGTCGAACTACACATTTCAAAGGGATGTATCTAGAAATACTATATCCACAACAGCGGAAATGCACGCTCATGCGCAGCATGCGCAGAAGGAGGCCGCTGCAGCGCCCTCTATTGATATTGTAAGGAGGACAACTCCAGTGTGACGGATTTCACCCTGCAACAGCACAGGCTCATGTCAATTGTAGAGAGGTATCAATATCTGTTTTGTTGGATTTGATGTGTTACGTCTCGGTATACGGGACCTGGTGTATTTGTGAGTGAGTGCCGTAGGCATTTTGTGAAGAAATGGACGAGAATTCATTGTGGTTTTTCAAGACGGCAAACCTAATGTTGTGGAATATGATATTCATTGAGTGTGTTTGTCGTCTGCGCCAGGACAAAGCCTGTTGATGGTGGTGTATCTGGTCCCTCCAACGAGACCGGATGTGTATGCGCCCACGACAAAGCGATAACATCGAGGGGAGGAATGTGGACTCTGGTTCTGCCACCAGAGGTCGCGCGGAGAAGGTCAGTATCAGGCCACGTGCTGGGAAAAGCAGGTTGACCTTGTGGCAGGTCAAGGTGAAGGTCAGGGTCAAGGTCGACCCTTCAAGATGGCGCCGCACCCCGTGTCGGTATGCCAATATCATCATTGGATTCCTTTTTTTCTTTTTGATTTTCCAAATAAAGGGATGTATTGGTTTCGTGTTCATATGTATAATGTTTAATATGAAGAAAAGTATAATGTTTTGGTCGAATGTGTACTAGATATCACAACTGCTCACAAATGTTGTTTAATTTTGCTGAGCGCTTTTTGGGAAACTAAGTCATGTTTTGTTCTCATATAGGGTCGCACAAGTTTTCTGTTCTGTCTGTACAAAAGTCAAAAACTTTTGTATGTCCAATTTTGTACAATAAAAGAGAAAACTACACTTATTATTTTCATGTAGTACTTCTTCACATAGAGAGACACAACACTCAACTGACGGATCGCCATAACAAACTGTCCTCTGAAGCTAGACCTTAACGATAGTACATCCTAATATTTAACTTGATCGCGAACAGCCACACTCAAGGATATGAGCACCACCCGCGTTCGTGATGTTCGTTTCGTTGCTGAACCGCAATTTCTACAACTGTACCTGTTGTACTCATCTTCCCGAGGCAAGAGAGTTAACTGACTATAAAAGTCCAGTTTCCACCAAGGGTGGAAACTGGTCTTTTAAAGTCATTTAACTCCCTTGCCTCGGGAAGATGGTTGTACGAGGCTAAAGACACAGCGTTGGGTATCCGACTCATGGGTTCCAGTCCCGTATTCGCCCAATTGTGATCCTTGTCCATAACACGACATATATATCGTCCTTCCACCTCAAGCTGATGCGCCCTGATATACGTGCAATAAATCACTCCTTCACTCACAAAATATATAATTATAACGTGTAGCAGTGTAGAATGCTGCTTGGTATCCTTGTAGTTAAAACATTCGCTTGTCACCCAGAAGACCCGGGTTCCATTCCCCATATGGGTACAATGTTTGAAGCTAATCTCTGGTGTACCACGTGATATTAATATTGCTAAAAGCGGCGTTAAACCATAATCACTCACTATGCCACCAGGGTATCATACCTACATCATTATCAAGTGATAAATGCCATTTTTAAGTGTATCAGGTGGCATAGACAGACAGGTAACTAAATATCAACATTAAACTGGATGATACAAAAGATAGTTAGTTCACTTGCACTGGACTCTTGCCCTGGATATGATACAGTCCTGTGTCCATTTGTCCACGTGCTTCCAATCAAACTGCTGATGAATATTAACATCATTTCCCCAAGGCCAGCCATTATATAGCTTATTAGCTTAGATAACCGGAGGCTATGAGGGCTATCGTTCTCCACTGTTCCTAATATGGGCAATGAGACCCTCTGCACGTTTGGGGCTATTTAGTCACACTCTAGGTCACAATGAGGACTGCAATAATTGAACACCATTTTGCTTCTACACGAGCGAATTTTTTTCCAATTCTCTTGGAATCAAAATAAAGCATTGAGTTATCGTTATCAGCCAGTTCGTCACAGGCGCTGTTTGGGCTTAACGATTCCTTGGTCGTTATTGATGACTATGGACGTCAGGAATTATGAGATTTCCACGAACATGGAAAAATGTTTGTTTAATTTTTGCAATGTTTGGCTTCAAGTGTTTGTTCTCATTAAGGCGAATCATGTTTTTATTGAAGAAATTAAAGTTCAAACGAAAGTATTAAAAGCAATTGGTTATAAAACGTGCTGAGGCTTTCAAGTGGCTTATTTGTTATTAAATAATGAAAATCAAGATTTGCTCTTCACGAGGTAGTATTTTCAATCATGCGAGTAATTAAACATTTAAGCTTTCTGTGAAAGAAAACAGATAGCCAATGCCCTTTGACAATGATTATTATCATGTCGAACGGATTTTACAAGAGCAATAATTCAGCAAGCTTTCAATCCTCTGCATAAATTGTCCCGTTTACACATTTTAATGTCACGATTTAAGAGGCGACGTACTGGGAACCAATGAGAAAGTCCTGGCTTATCATCACAACACTGTTGACGGAATCAATTGATATAAATGATTGCTTATTTTACATTAATGCATTTTCACATAAATGAAATTATCGCTTTCGCTGGTGTATAATATAATGACACTTCATTTCCAAACATATGGAACATTCTGAACGAATAATCTGCAGTATGTCCTAAAACCTCGTTAACCATTGTCCTCAAAGGAGTCATCTCTGTTATGGCGTAGTTTTTTAACTATCATCATACTTGTATTATTATATTACAGTACAATTATACAATATGTCCAGGTAATCGATTATCTAATGTTGGATAGGGGGCATAGGTGGCCCAGTCGTCTGAGGCGCCGCAATTCGCTGTCCAGGGTTGCGTCCCTTGGACACTCCAGGAACCCATGATTGTGGATCGAATTCCAGTTCGCCCATATCCCCATATAACCACATCCTATAACCATCATTCGTTAATTCCGAAATATCTTCATCCGGACAAATTCGGATAATGGAATATGACCGGTTACTTCCACATAACTGAGACTTCCAGATACCAAATAGTGAGAACGAGCCGACCAAGTATGATCCTACATGTCGAAACCTTCATCGACCGCCAGCTGTTGATTCCGATTGTCCTTATCAAGGACATAAGTGGAATGAGCAATCACCATGGTACTTATTCAACACACAATGGTATGTACGTACAATCATTCTAATATAACCAGGTAGGTGGGTACAATATAATATATCTCACACATGTACCTACAGTATAATATATCTAACACATGTAGCTACAGTAAAATACATCTCACACATGTAGCTACAGTATAATAGATCTAACACCTGTAGCTACAGTAAAATATATCTCACACATGTAGCTACAGTATAATACATCTCACACATGTAGCTACAGTAAAATACATCTCACACATGTAGCTACAGTATAATACATCTCACACATGTAGCTACAGTATAATACATCTCACACCTGTAGCTACAGTATAATATATCTCACACCTGTAGCTACAGTAAAATACATCTCACACATGTAGCTACAGAATAAAACATCTCACACATGTAGCTACAGTAAATATATCTCACACATGTAGCTACAGTATAATATATCTCACACATGTAGCTACAGTATAACATATCTAACACCGTAGCTACAGGATAATATAGCTCACACATGTAGCTACAGTATAATACATCTGACACATGTAGCTACAGTATAATACATCTCACACCTGTAGCTACAGTATAATATATCTCACACATGTAGCTACAGTAAAATCAATCTCACACATGTAGCTACAGTATAATATGTCTCACACATATAGCTACAGTATAATATGTCTCACACATGTAGCCACCGTATTATATATCTCACACATTTAGCTACAGTATACTATATCTCAAACATGTAGCTACTGTATAATATATCTCACACATATAGCTACAATAATATATATCTAACACATGTAGCTACAGTATACTATATATCCTACATGTAGCTACAGTATAACATATCTAACACAGTAGCTACAGTATAATATATCTCACACATGTAGCTACTGTATAATATATCTCACACATGCAGCTACAGTATGATATATCTTACACATGTAGCTACAGTATAATATATCTAACACTGTAGCTACAGTATAATAAATATTGCACATGAAGCTACAGTATACTATATCTAACACCGTAGCTACAGTATAATATAGCTCACACATGTAGCTACTGCAAAATATATCTCTCATATGTTGCTACAGTAAGATATATCTTACACATGTAGCTACAGTATACTATATCTCACACATGTAGCTACAGTATAACATATCTAACACCGTAGCTACAGTATACTATATCTCACACATGTAGCTACAGTATAATATATCTCACACATGTAGCTACAGTATACTATATTTCACACATGTAGCTACAGTAAGATATCCCTACACATGTAGCTACAGTATAATATATCTAACCCTGTAGCTACATTATAATATGTCTCACACATGTAGCTACAGTATAATATACCTCACACATGAAGCCACAGAATAATATATCTCACACATGTTGCCACCGTATAATATATCTCACACCTGTAGCTACAGTATAATACATCTCAAACATGTAGCTACAGTATAATATATCTCACACATGTAGCTACAGTATAATACATCTCACACATGTAGCTAAAGTATAATACATCTTACACCTGCAGCTACAATATAATATATCTCACACATGTAGCTACATTAAAATATATCTTCCACATGTAGCTACAGTATACTATCTTTCACACACGTAGTTACAGTATAATATACCTAACACCGTAGTTACAGTATACTATATCTAACATCGTAGCTACAGTATAATATATCTCACACATGTAGTCACAGTATAATATATCTCACACATGTAGCTACAGTATGATATATCTAACACTGTAACTACAGTATAATAAATCTCAAACATGTAGCTAAAGTATAATATATCTAACACTGTAGCTACAGTATAATATATCTAACATCGTAGCTACAGTATACTATATCTAACATCGTAGCTACAGTATAATATATCTCACACATGTAATCACAGTATAATATATCTCACACATGTAGCTACAGTATGATATATCTTACACTTGAAGCTACAGTATAATATATCTAACACTGTAGCTACAGTATCTCAGCCTGCGATCACAGTACACTATATGACGCTCTGTGAGAACATTAGAATTTATCTCACCCTTTGACTATGTATACAGTACACACTATCACACTCAGTAGGCACAGTATAATTCAACTCACACTGTAACTACGTATACAGTACACACTATCACGCTCTGTAGGCACAGAATAAGTGACCTCACCCTGTAACTATGTATACAGTACACACTATCACGCTCTGTAGGCACAGTATAATTCAACTCACCCTGTAACTATGTATACAGTACACGCTATCACACTCTGTAGGCACAGTATAATTCAACTCACCCTGTAACTACGTATACAGTACACACTATCACGCTCTGTAGGCACAGAATAAGTGACCTTACCCTGTAACTATGTATACAGTACACGCTATCACGCTCTGTAGGCACAGTATAATTCAACTCACCATGTAACTATGTATACAGTACACACTATCACACTCTGTAGGCACAGAATAATTCAACTCGACCTGTTACTTTGTATACAGTACACACTATCACGCTCTGTAGGCACAGAATAAGTGACCTCACCCTGTAACTATGTATACAGTACACGCTATCACGCTCTGTAGGCACAGTATAATTCAACTCACCCTGTAACTATGTATACAGTACACACTATCACACTCTGTAGGCACAGAATAATTCAACTCACC